CTGCTAGGAAAACAAACAGATTCATCCTGGAAAGGGTTAAACCGGGTGGCTCCTTGGAGGCAAGGATTCTGAGACTCTGTTTAACATACTTTGGAAATGTTGTGAGGAGAGACCGGTCCTTGGAGGACATCATGCTTGGGAGGGTGGAGAGACAGCGCAGGAGGGGAAGGCCCTCTATGAGGTGGATTGATTCAGTGACTGGGATGATCGAGATGGGAGTGTCAGAGACAGTGCGATTGGCACAGGACAGAGCAGAGTTTAGGGCTGTCGTACATAGGGTCGCTATGAGTTGCAAGCAGTGACTCGACGGCACATAACAACAACAACATACCCTTAAATAGCAATACCAGTAAGAATTTATCCTGTTTTTGTTTTTGAGTACCATCAAGTTAATTCAACTCACAACAACCCCATGTGACAAAATAGAACGACTCCATAGGGTTTTCTTGGCTGTAATCTTTACAGAAGTGGATTGCCAGGTCTTTCTCCCAGGGAGCTGCTGGCTAGGTTCAAATGATTAATCTTCCAATTAGCAGCTGAGTGCTTAACTGTTACATTGCTCTTTCATTCAATGACTAGATTTCCTCTAAATACTCTAAGATATGTAGATGTGGCTGTTCATTATGGGATTATTTATAACAGTAAAACAAATACAAATCATATACCAACATTCACTGCAGCTTTATTCAGAATAGACAAACGGTGGAAACAACTCAAGTGTCACCAACAGATGGATAAACTCACTGCTGTTTATTCAGAATCGACTCATAGCTGACCCTCCATTGAGTTTCCAAGGTTGTAAAATGCACAAGAGACTGGCCATCTTTTTCCCGTGGAGCACCTGGTGGTTTCAAACCACATGTCTTTGAGTTGGCAGCACAACTCTTTACTACTAGGCCACCAGAGATCTCTGATATATATATGTAACTAAACACTATTTGGCTATGAGAAACAAAGTCCTGATAAATGCTATGGCATGGATGAATCTTGAAAACACAGAATAAAAGAAATCAGGCACAAAAGGGCAAACAACGTATGGTCTCACTATGTGAAATATCTAGAATAAGTAAATAAATATAGACATCAAAGCATCAGAAGTTATCAGAGACTGGGAGGATGAGAACAAGGAGTTATGCCAAGGGTTATAAGAAGGTTTATGAAGTTTCTGGGATGATGAAAAATTTTTTTAAGTAGTTTAATGGTAATGATTTCCCAACATGGTAAATGCAATTATGTCACTGAAGTGTACATCTAAAATTACTAAAATGGAAAATTTTTATTATAATATTTTACCACAATAAAATGAAAAATAACCCTGAATTATTAAAGGAGGCACTTTTTGGAGGATGGCACTATGTCTTTATATGGTTATTTCAGTTTTTTGCTGTTAACATGCTTTTGTACTAAAGAAGATATTTTTCAAATGTTGACTATCTTTTTTACTGGGAGGGTATCAACTTAATGTTGGAATAACAGAACTATTATATATGTCTTACAATTTTTAAATTAATTCTTTCTTATCTAATAAATTGAATGGGGGGGGTGAATCCTACCAAGCAAAATATTGAAATAACCCCTGTTGAAGTTATACAGGCAGCCCAATGGTTAGTCCCCAGCATCCCTTCACTCACCCATTCAAATCAAAAGCTCGGATGAGGATATGCTGTAACACATCGAGAGACGTGATCTGGGGGTCAACAGCAAAAGAACGGAACTCAGGAGGCAAGATGCTCTCACACTTCTGGAGAGAGAAGACATAGGGCAGATTGTCCATCAGGGGCACATCAGCACGTTGAAATGGAATGAGTGAGATACAGAGTGGAAGAAGATAAGGTCAGAGAGGTAGCAGGTAGCAACAGGTGAGCACATTCTGGGTCAAGGTGGGGACTAAGGTTTTTTTTAAGCGAGGGTTCATAGGAAGAAGGACTTGACATGATTTAAGAAGATCCTTCTGGCTGTTAGAATAGAGCTGGGGGGGGGGGAGAAGCAGAAGTCCGGTAAGGAAGAGGCTATGGCAAAGGTACAGGTACACAATAATTTTTTTCCTTAATCTCCACTATTACACTGTCCATTCTGGACCTATTAAACCCATCCTTCATGCTACAACTAACATTACCAATTTATCCACACTTCTCTACTTAAACTTCTTCAATAGCAACCCACAATATTCAGGAAATGCCTTCAGATTCCTAGTTCCTCTCTTCCATCAGCTTTTAAAAACTTTACACTCTGGTAATTACCAAACTTACAGAAGTAAAGTTGAACATACCATGTTTTTGTGTGTATGCAATTCCCCATCTGGGATGTCCTTTCCACTTTTTTCACGTAGCTTACTCACAACTCTTTTCTTCTCCCAAACCTCTACCATAGCACTTTCTTTATTACACTGAAATCATCTAAACTTCTCTCTAGAATATACTTTCTTCTCATCACCCTGCTCCAAGTCATCATTACTGCTGATTGGGACTACTCCATCAGCCCTTTAACTCAGCTATACCACTTTGACTATACAACAAAAAGGAACCTTGAGCATAATGGATAATACTGGTCTTGGGTTGGTGCTAACTGAAAGGTCAGAGGTTGGAATTCAACAACATCATCATGGGAGAAAGGTAATGGCAGTCTGCTTCTGTAAACCCAAACCAACAAAAACCAGACCCACTGCCATCCAGTGGATTCTGACTCGCGGTGACCCTCCATCTAATTTTCAAGACTGTAAATCTTCATAGAAGGAGAGCCCATCTTGCTCTCAAAGAGCTGTTAGTGAATTCCAACTGGCGACCTTCCAGTAGCAGCCCAATACATCACACTACACTACCAGCGATGCTTTGGAAATCCTATGGAGCAGTTCTACTCAATCCTATAGGATGACGAAAAGACAAAACTGGCTGTATGGTAAAGGTATACCCTTTACCAAAGACCCTTCATGATCTGCTCCTGTCCCCGCCTCTGCCTCATTTTCTCTACTCGAACAATATGTGAATCTAGGGAACATAACAAACTCATCCTCACCTGCCAGTCTTTGCTCTTGCGATTTCCTCTGCCTGGAACACTCACTGCCTTCTCCCTTCCCTCATGCATGACTTTTTTAATTCAAGTACTTGATTCTTAAGTACTTCCTCTTGGGTTTTCCCTGTACTATCTTGGCTAAGTAACTAACTCCTTAGTTGATAATTTTTATCATTATTTTATCCTGACAGTCACTGGTGTCCGTATTATCTCATTTATTTAGTTGTCTGTTCAAATCCTGGCTCAACCAGTTGGTTGGGGGTGGAGACTCAGCACGTTTTAACCAAATTCATTGCCCTCTCACCTTCTTGGGGACCCCATCCTTCAACTACTAGGACTGCTCCTGTAACTCTATAACCCCTTCCTTTTAACCATTAAGTTTACCCCTCCAATGCAAAAGCTTCCTTAAAGCCCCACACCCTCAGACCTTGCCTCTGCATTCCGAGGCTAAGCCTACCCCCATAACTATTACTCTGCTCTCAAAGTTTGCCTTTCATCCATAACGTCTCAAACTTTAAGCCCTATACTCCCATCCCCCCCCAAAAAAAACCAACAACAACAACAAAAACAACACCACCCAATACAGCCTGAGCCTTCCCCTCTGTGGGATACCGGGGCTGGCAGGCAAAAACGGCCATTGGCCTCACCTTAACTCGAACCCGCACCACCTCCCGCTCCTCCTCCTCAGACGCTGCGGCTTGTGTTCCTCCGCCAGGCGGAGGTGCTCCAGGGGTAGCCAAGTCCGCAGATCCTAAGGCCGTTGCCATCATGCCGCTGCGCTGTCAGGATGACGGTGAACTGTAACCCCTACCCCTTACTCGGTACAGCCCAGAGCACCGGCGCCAGTAACCCCACCTCGCGCCAAGGCGCAGGCGCAGAATGCACTTTACAACCGTGCCGCCCAATGCCCCTCCCAACCTGCACAAAATGAAGAACTGCGCATGCGGTTTTGGTGCTGCTGCCAAGGTTCCTGCCCTTAGAGAAGAGCATTTCTCTCCCATCAGTTAGTGAGTGTACCGGCATTTAGAGAGGCCTCTCTGCCTCTCATCTTGTATTTTGGTTGTGTTTGCATATTATTTCCAGATTCACCTAGTGCTCTGACTACCAATGCTCAGGCGAGAAATGAGGGCCGGTAAGGAAGCTGTGGGATAATATCAAGGCCCCAGACCCCGCCCCAAGATGCCTCACATCTCTACTGACAAATCATGTCATCTATTTTGTATGCCTGTGATTTTTTTTTTTCCCCTCAAAAGAATTGTTGGCGGAAGAGAGAAAGCTGAGATCCTTTTAAAGATTGCTTAAAAAGATAGTGAATTAAAAGGACAGATATTGTATGATCCCACTTGTAGAAAATGTTAAAATAGGCGAAAGTGTAAAGCAAAAGTTTATTCAGGGTTACTAGGGCCTGAAAAAAGGAGGGGATGGGGAGTTAGGGACTACTGCTTAAAGATAATGAGTTTGTGTATGATGTGATAAAAAGCTTTCAGAAATGTATAATGGTGATAGTTGCACAGTTAACGTAACCGATGTCACTGATTCGTACACTTACGATTAATAGCTAAAGTGGCAAGATTTCTGTGATATATAAATAAAAATTTATAAAATACGATACACATTCTTGCTCTTGTTTTCATGTTTATTAGCATATACATAATTTACAATAAAAATTTATGAAGGTGTATATTTATATACTGAATACATATTCAGAATGTTCATTAAATAATTCACCAGATCTGTCGTATTATTGTTGTTGTTGCTTGCCTTCGAGTGGAGCACAACTCATAGCGACCCTATGAACAAAAGGCTTGAAGGCACTCTACAATCGACATTTATCAAGGTTCATAGGGTTTCCGGAGGAGGCATATTATTTAAGAAGTGGATGCCACTCCTGCTTCCAAACCTGTCACAGTATGTTATTGTTTTTATATGCCATTGAGTTGCTTGCGATGCATAGCTACCTATGTCTGCTCTGAACCCTACCCTGTCCTGAGCCAGGCTCACCAACTCCGACACACCAACCCCCATGGCCCCAGTGACTGTATCAATCTATCTCATCTTGGGTCTCCCTCTCCTGCACTGTCTGTCCACCCTTCCGAGCATGATGTCCTTCACCAAGGACCAATCTCTCCTGGCCACGTGCCCAAAGTAAGTGAGGCACAGCTTCAAAATCCTAGCCTCCAAGGAAAGACTTGGCTTCACCCTCTCCAAGACAGACCTATTTGTTTTCTTGGAGGTCCATGGTATGTCCAAGACTCTTCTCCAGCACCACAATTCAAAGGCATCTATTCTTCTTCTGTCATCTTTCGTCATTGTCCAACTCTCTAAAGCATAACAACAAATTGAGAAGAACATGGCCTGGATTATGCACACCTTTGTATCTAGGCTGATGTTGTTGCTCTTCAGCACTCTGGAGAGGTCCATGACAGCATATTTTCCCAATGCAATTTGTCTTTTTATTTCCTGACTACTGGTGTTAAGGGTGTTGATTGTGGATCCAAGCAAGGTATAATTGCTAACAACCACAATCTCTTTTCCATCTATTATGGTGCTGCCAATTGGCCCGGTAGTGAGAATCTTTGTCTTCTTGATATTGATCTTCAGTCCATATTGAAGACTACAATCCTTGACCTTTTGGGATAAGTGCTTCAGGTCTTCTTCCATTTCAGCAAGCAAGGTTGTGTCATCTGCATATTGTAGGTTGTTAATGAGTCTTCTTCCAATCCTGATGCCACACTCCTCCTCATAAAGCCCTGCTTCCCAAATGATCTGTTCTGCATACAGATTGAAAAGGTACAGGGATAGGATACATCCCTGATGCACTCCTTTCCTGATTTTGAACAATGCAGTGTTTCCTTGCTCTGTTGTGAATACTGATTCTTGGTCCAAATATAGGTTTCGTATAAGCACAATCAAGTGTTCTGAGATTCCCATTTTCCTCAAGGTTAGCCACAATGTATTATGATCCATACAGTCAAATGCCTTTGCATAGTCAATGAAACTCAGATAGACATTCTTCTGGAACTCGCTGCTTTCTGCCAAAATCCATCTGACATTGGCAATAATGTCCCTAGTGCCATGACCTCTTCTAAACCCAGCTTGTATTTCTGGTCATTCTCTGTCAATGTGTTCAAGTCTTTTCTGGATGATCTTCAGCAGGATTTTGCTAGTGTGTGATGTTTGTGATATTAGTCAATATCAAATGGATCTTGGCTGAAAACAGAAAGTATGAGAGGAATATTTATCTGTGCTTCATTGACTATTCAAAGGTCTTAGAATGTGTGGATCACAATAAATTGTAGCTAACACTGAAAAGAATGGGAATCTCATACCACCTGTTTGGCTCATGCAAAACCTATACCTGTACCAGGAAGCAGTTGTCAGAATGGAGCAAGAAAACACTACGTGTTTCAAAATCAGAAAAGGAGTGTGTTAGGATGTGTCTGGTCTCCATATCTTCTCAATCTATATGCCAAACAGAATATCCAGGAGACTGGACTTGATGAGGAGGAAAGTGGCATAAAAAGTGGAAGAAACTTACCAACCTGTATTATGCAGATGACACAACCTTGCTTGATGAAACTAAAGAGGACCTAAAGCATTTGCTGCAAAAAGTGAAGGGCTGAAGTCTTCAATATAGACTGAAACTTACCGTTAAGAAGACAAAGGGTTTTTTTGTTGTTATGTGTCATCGACTCACCACTAGGCAAATTGGCAGAACCATAATGGATGGGGACGTGATTGAGGCTGTTAACAATTTACTCTTGTACACAATCAACACTTTTGGTGTCACAGTCAACACTCTTGGCACCAGCATTCAGGAAATCAAAAGAGGAATTGCATTAGAAAAATCTGCTGTCAGGGGCTTCTCCAGAGTGCTAAAAAGTAACAATGCCAGTCTAGAGACTAAGAAGCACCTGTTCCAGGACATGGTCTTTACAGTCAGAGAGCTGGACAATGACTAAGGAGGATTAATTTATGTCCTTGAGTTGTGGTGCTGAAAAAGAGTATTGAACATTTCATGGACCACTAAAAGAAAAAATAAATTTGTCCTGGAGAGGATAAAACCAAGTTGTTCTTCAGAGGCAAGGATTTTGAAGCTCTGTTTGACATACTTTGGGCATGTTGCCAGGAGGGACCAGTCCTTGGAGAAGGACATCAGAAGGATGGAGGAGACAGTGCAAGAGAAGAAGACCCAGGAGGAGATGGATTGTAATGGGGATACATGTGTTGGAGACAGATTGGTTCAGGATAGGACAGGGTTCAAAGCTATTTAATCTTCACAGCATATTGATGTGCTCTCCTTGTTATTAGACAATACTCATGAAGTACCAAGGGAGCTAAGTGGTAAGGAGTTGTGCTGGCAACCCATAGACACATGGCTGGAATCCACCAGCTGCTCCATGACAGAAAGATGGTAAATCTGCTCCTTTGCTATTTCCTGCCTCTGAAAACCTGCTGGATGGTCAGCTATGGGTCAGTCATTGGTACACATCAAAACCAGCAGACTCATTTGAGAAACTTCATGTGGTACAAAATGCAAAAAGGCATTCTCGTCACTTCACCACACAATATTAATTAAATTTTAGTTTGAAAAAAATATCAACTGTTGGCACAGAGAGCAACACACACAGAGAGCAACACATGCAGAGAGTGAGCAGGAGAGCTGGAATTTTAGTGAAAACTGTTATTAAAACAATTAGTCTGGGAGCCATGGGGAGCAGCGAGCCTTGGTGGGGAGCAGTAAGCCTCGCTGGGAAGCAGCAAGCCAAGGTGGGGAACAGTGACCCTCAGCAGGGAACAGCCAGCCATGGCGGGAAGCAACCTGCTGTGGCGGAATCCACATGCCAGGAGAAAGCAGGAAAACAGGAATTAGAATGAAGTACTTAGGGGGGGATCACTGCTGATTACATGTGGGACCCCTTCACCTTAAGCAGGAGGGAATTGGATAGTTGGATAGTTGACTGAGGTGGCAGACTCAGTTCTCAAGAGGAAAACCAAAGCTTTCTGGTTTCCATTCAGGTCCCGCCAAATGCTCCTCACTCCTGCATTCATCTGTGTGTGTGCCCTGTTCCCGCCCCCATGTGCATCTGCATGTGCATCCACCCTACGGGTATCTGTGCATGTGTGCCTGCCTAGCCTTCTTCTGGAGCAGTGACTTCAGATCAAGAATCTGTTATTGCCTCAGGCATGTAAAACTCTACCACAGCAATGTCACAAAAGAAGCAGGCTACCTAACATCCTACACAAGCCCAAAGCAAGATGTCACCCCCAAAAAGTGACACGGTGTCAATGGATTTCCTGAAGCCAGAAAGTCTGATGGAACTTTCTGACACAGAATTTAAAAGAATGATGATTAAATATTTTCAATGAGTAAAAGATAAATTTAAAGAATTACAGGACACTGCAAGCAAAACCCAGGAGGAGCTTAAATTTTTTTTTAAAAAAAATGCAGATAAAACAAACGAGGCATTAGAGGCTCTGGAAAAGCAAGAAACTGTGATCCAAAATATGAGGTCAAATGTTTCAGATACTATCAAAATGATGGAGGAACATATGAGCAGAGTTGAAGGGATAGAACACAGAACGAGTGAAATAGAAGAATCGTCACCACTGATAGAACAAAAAGCAGAATCACAAAGGAAGGAAAAAGAAGAAAATTTGAGAATAATGTGGCACATGCACACCCATGTTTATTGCAGCTTTGTTCACAATAGCAAAAAATTTGGAAACAACCCAAGTGCCTATCAAAAAACAAATGGATAGTGAA